AAATAGCGGCAAGTGGAATATAGATGATAATAGCATACCTACCCTAAGGTCCTACACATTAACATCGTCCAAAAGGAGGGATGGGATCCTCTACAGCAAAGGCTACTGCCAGATCTTGCAGGCGACAGATGCGAAGATTTGCCTGGGTACCATGCGCTTTTTGCAGGAAAAGAATAAGATGATCATCTAAAAGTTCTAGGGCTAAATTCACAGTTCATCGGCGCTTTGGATTGCATTTATGCAATTTCATTAGAAAGACAGGGAGAGAGCGTGAAAGAGAGGCCTATGTCTACGGTGATGGCGATGGATTGCCAAATGGAACTGAATCAACAAGTGCAGAAGGGATGCTGCAGAATCTATCTGGCGACGAGTGTAGGACGCGCTATGTTCCCTTAATCGGATAGTGAAAGCCAATGCGATGCTGAAGTTTTAATGGCGTGGGAATGCGAGAAAAGTTTAATTGAACTCTAACCTGATAAATCAATCTTTTAGCATTCCTCCAAACAGATAGATCAGCTTAAACAATGCCTTATAATCAGAAAAACAGATAGAAATATGTCCCCCACACTAATTGGTACTATGATCGAGCTTGCCGCAGAACTAATAAGGTTTTTCCGAATAATAATAATCAAAATACCTTTAAATCACAAAAGTCAGTAGGGTAAGTCGGTATTATTATACGCAATATGCAAACATATTGCGGCTCAGTATAAGAACGCCAGCGTTTAGCCTTTTATTATTTAATATTAGTGCTATTTGGAGCTGACTCATTTTTTTTGGGGCGAACGGTGAAAAGCCAACTGTTTCCATTAATATCCTTGCCTAAAATAATCAACTCTATGTTTAGAACAAAGGGGATGGTTTATTGTCTGTTTCTGAACGATCTAAAATCTGCACTTTCGAAATGTTTGATTCGTCTTTACGTTCCATCAAGTACAGATGGACTGAATGACGATAAAGTCTTAATAGGTTAAGTCAATATAAACAAGAAACACTTATTATGTATACATCATTAATCACAATTTTATTTAACAATGTTTAGATTCACTTGTTAGGCCATTGTTTAGTGTGAAAGGTGTTTAAATTTGTAAGTCACAAGAAAGGGTGAAGGGGAATAATATCTTTGACTTTATAATACGATGTCAGAACTTATCACTTTACACTATCAGTCTGGCTCGGATTGTCACGTTGACTGTAGACTGGTTTTCGCTGAAAGAGAATGGCAAGAAAACCCTCATCGTTCTCATAGATTTTTTAATTGTCTAGTTTACCGTTATCTTCATAGCCGATGGACAAGCCGAACGGTGCCAACAATTCTCTTCTATCTTCCCCACAGAAGATCGAGTACAGGCGCACAGCAGTCCTCTCTCTTATCCCCAAAGAAATCCAATAAGAGCACACCAACTACTAACTCGTTTCGATATGATGTACTCCTCAAGTTCAACGATTATCTTCACTTCTTTAAATCATCTCTCGTCTGTGTCAGGAGTTTCACCTGAAAAGCGAACTTTGCATAAATGGAGGAAACCACAAAAACTGAGGAATTCTCTTTCGCTGGTCTCGGAGTAAGCCTTTTGGGCATTACGTTACTAAATTGTAGCTTCGGTTATTGCGGAAATATTCCAGATAAATTGTGCCAACGAAGGGTGCTGCCCGTTCTTTCCGTCGTAAACTTTCGGGAGATGATCCACAGAGCAGAACAGAACAGCGAAAGCATTACCCTTCGTGCAATAAAGATAGTTCAACGCAGGAAACACGAAAAGATTAATATCAAGTCTTGCGTGCAGTTGTGCAAGCATTGTGGCCGACTTAAAGAAAGGGAAGCGATAATAAGACGAGAGGAATAGGGACGCCTACTTCAGAAGGCTAAGAGAGAAGAGGAACTAGCCATATTCCTTCGCGAGAAGACAGAAAGGTCTTATACTCTAGCCCCGTGGGGTCCTACCAAATGTGAGAACTAAAGTTTTTACAACCATATAGCCGATAATGTATGTTGGATTGGACTGCGTACTAACGGAACAAAGCATGCATGACGTTACTTGTGGAAATCGCCCGTCCCCCCAGTCACCCTCGTGTCCCATTTTTGGAATGTTTCATTTCTTGCTCTTCACATGTCTTTGTGCAGATTGAGTTTAAGTAAATGGCTCCATCATTTTGGTCTCCAAAAACGATCTTCACTTCTGTGTGAGTTAGGAAACAAAATGGAAGGAGTAGTTATTCTGGTCAAATTGACTCTTAATAGCAGAAAGTATATATTTTTTATATAGCTTCTAATTAGAAAATTATAGTCACGGTTTTTTCTAAACAATCCTCCACACTTGCTTATATTTGATAAACAGTGACCGTCACTGAAATTCGTTGTCAGAAAAAATGTGTCGACTGGCTTTCTTGGTTGGACTATCTATTAATTACTTTATTAATGCTTTTGCAATCTGCACACCTTATTTGCCACTACGTTTTTCGTCCTTTGAAGGGAGAAAACTTGTATTTATATTCTGAATCTTTAAATATGCTATCTTTTCAAAAGTTATTTGATAAACACCTTAAATTAGGTCTTCCATAGGAACCCGTCTAAATTTCCATTAAGAGTGTTCCTTTATATCCTATATAGTGCATGTCTCACGTCAAGAAACGAAGATACAACACAAATGACCATGACACATTCATTTATGAGACATTTAGTTAGACAACGTTTTGATACTAGTGTTTCCTGATTTCATAAGATTAATCCTATGTCCGAAGACAGTTTCCAAAAGAAATGTTTTGGGAAAAACTTCCGACTTCGATTGTAAATTCAATCATTAATGTAAAAATTTGATGTTCATTTAATGATGTAATAGCATAGGATAGATTATACAATTTCATTTTCTAAATTCCTTGACACTTTCCTCCTTTTTATGTTCAAATGGGATTGTAAGATAGGCTTCTAAATGAACATAGACTTAATTGGGAAACTACTTAAGCAACGGTAATATATCAAAGGGTGAGAATCATGTTAGGATATACTACTAATGACATGAAATATTTTTTCTTTCATTGTGCACAATTAAGTCCATTTTAAGCGATTTATTTCTGATGATAAATAAATATGTTAAAAAAATTTGTCTTTTTTGTGACTCATGTGATAACTCAAAATTTTAGGAAATTTCTGAAGTTATATTATACTGATTATCATCACTTTTGCCTTACTTTGTATAATTATGCTTTTGATATTTGGGAATGAAATTCTCTTTCCAATGATAATGTTTTGAGTCAATTACTACTGTAATTGTAACTACATAATTAAGAGTAGCTCTTTCAGGTGAGGAGAGATCTTCACCTTTCTTGTTTTCTAGCCTCAAATACTTCCTAGTGTGTTCACAGATTCAGGTCCACAACAGATCAAGATGATGACCCGACAAAAGAAATAATGTTGAGGATTAAAGATCTTCCAGTCTCTCCCATAAAAGGAAGCTTAGTCTGAAAGCGAAAATGAGTAACATGATCCTTGAGAGATGCCAAAACCCAAATATCTGCAGTGTTACAAAACTACCTCCTTTTACTTTTGACTAAAAGTAACCCAATAAAAATTAGATGAACCTGGAGGTTGCCAGAGACGAAACTCTCTTCATAAAATTGGGTAAAAGTCTAAACTTATGTCTGTCATAACTATGAGAATACACCTGCTGTGGTTTGTGGAATCATAATCTAAAACAATTCAGATTGAAGAAGCAGATGAGGTGTGGTTATTATGACATGAGGACAAAAACTCCTGTTAATTATGGCGACAATTTGATTTTTCCGAAGTTAGCAGTGCATTCAATCATTTTTTATGCACTTCTTAGTCATTACAATTAGTTAATCCATCACAAGTAAGAACAAATTTTCCTAGAATAGTCTTCAACCACGTAAGTATCTCTTCTGGAAGGACAAAATGAGGCATCGGTCCGTATTTAGTGGCTAACATGTGGAAGTCATGTAGTTAATTTCAATAGTGTTTCGCAAAACCTGGAAGGATGTACCGAAGAGAATTATTATATCGTTTTCTATACTCCTTTGGTTGAGGAGGCTTCCGGTTTGAAATTAAATGAAATTCGTTTGACATCTCCTGTAGGACACCTTTTCTGATTTCTGTTCCCAAGAACAAACAGTGTCACTGGATGATCAGAAAATATTAGAAAATAATCCTCAATTATATACACGAGCACTATCCATTCAAGTATGACTGAAATGGGCAGCTTTGCTTCTTTCTCTCCGATGTTCCCCTTCTGGATTTTTCGAGAAAACCTTGGCAAATCTATACCTGCGGCTACTTCAACTGCCCATGATGGATAGTAGCGACGTCAAGGACGGGAGTTTATAGCATCTCCTAATTCTACTTGTTGGCTTCTCTCCTCGTTAACGCTCATCAGGCGCGTTGCCGAGAATCGCGTAGAGTTTTGCCCATCTCGCGTAATTCCATCTACGGAACTGATCACGCTTCCGAATAACATGGGCAGAGTTTTTTATCAGGTTGATGAGCTTGCAGAGGCATATTAGATGGGAAGTAGTCAGGCATAGAGACGCTGTTGTTGTCTTTCAAGTTTCCCCGGTTGGAGAGCTGAATTTGCGACTTCTAAAGCCTTATTATGTTTTATGTCTAACTGTCGGTCCTCCTTATCCAATTCAAAGTATATATAAAAATGAACCACTTTTTTAACAAAAAGAAAATTTCCCAGGGCTCAAAATCATGACCAAAATGTCTACAGATAAAAAGAATGTGTCAAGGTTTATTTCTCGCAGAATCTAATTTCTATCGAGGTCAAAGACTAAATTAATACTCCATGTGCAGTTTGAGAATTTTAGGGAGGACCTCAGTTATGCTAAGGAGCTTCTCTTCAAAATAAACTCGAATTCCTATCCGAAGAACTACAATTGGTGAATTATCGAATCATCACGATGCACAAATAATGACAAGAAGATGCTACCTGCATATGAGAAAAGCTTTGGAAAACCAAGGTTGAGGAAGGTCTGGGAACGCATCACGTTGACGTATTAAATGGTTCCCACTCTCTACCTTCAACCTGATACTCAGGCAGGAGAATCCGATGATCCTCAAAATTAGCTGATTGTTGTATAACCCACTGTTCTATTGCAAAGCCACCGGCTTCCGCGTTGTTGTTATCATGGTGAGTGTAGTCGAAGATTGAGATATGCCCAGATCCGGCGGAAGTCAACGAGCTCGGACGCCCCACCTCAGACACCACCTCCATCATCTTCTTCTCCCTGGTTCTCTCTCTGGCTCTCGCCCTAGCCATAACTCTCGACTCCCTCGCCTGGGAAGGATGTGGGAGAGCCTTCCGCGCCGGATCAGCAGTAACTCCGCTTGGCCTGGGTGGGGTGGTTTTCACGTTTAGTCCAAGCGAGTTAACCTCGCACTCGGAAGTGGAGGACTCACCCTTGGAGTCACTCTGTGGAGGGATGAGCCCCCCTATGGCGGTTCCTGATTTGGCCATGAGCCAGTCGACTGTGTTGCTAGCCTTGTCGAACCCTAGCATGTCCTGGAGATCGAAGAACCTCCTGGCGACGTCGAGGGAGAGCCTCATCCGCCGGTCTCTTGGCCCTTGAGCTGTGAATATCTTGCTGTGGCGATCCTTCCTTTGAGATCTCCTCCGGCCCCGTGCCCCATCACTCCCCGGAGTAGTTGAAGATTCTCTCGGAGGTGACGAGACTTTGGGCTCCAGCGCCGGTGTATGGTCGTCATCACGGTTAGCAACGAGACGGTCACTTGAAAGGCCACGGTCCAGAGACGGAGGATGATGGAGCTGGTTCATTTCATGGTATCCGAGTAGGGACCTGTTGAAGGTGTGTGATATTCTGGATAGAGGGAACATATATGGAGGATTTAGGGTTTCTCACAGTGCCTACCTCGAGTTGTGAAGCGGGAACTTTCACCGAACTACCATGGCGTGTGTCTATCTTCTCTTGCATACCTGAAGAGGTCTCTGAAGCTGCTGTCATGAAACGTGTTTTCACTCAAAGTACCAGCTTTCCAAGATCACATTGGCATGGCTGAGAGGAGGGAGTGAGAGAGAGAGAGAGAGAGAGAGAGAGAGAGAGAGAAGAAAAAGAGAGAGAGAGCGAGAGAGAGAGAGAGAGAAAAGAAAAAGAGAGAGAGCGATAGAGAGAGAGGGAGAGAGAGAGAAGAAAAAGAGAGAGATGGAGAGAGGGAAAGAGAGAGAGGAGAGAGGAGAGAGAGAGAGAGAGAGAGAGAGAGAGAGAGAGAAGAAAAAGAGAGAGAGAGCGAGAGAGAGAGAGAGAGAAAAGAAAAAGAGAGAGAGCGATAGAGAGAGAGGGAGAGAGAGAGAAGAAAAAGAGAGAGATGGAGAGAGGGAAAGAGAGAGAGGTAGAGAAGGGACTGAAGTTGAGGTGCAGTGGGTGGAGATCTGACTCCCCTCGTTTGGTATTTATTGGCGACATGGATCCTTTCTTCCTTTCTTTCTCCTCAATAATTGGACACAACGATTTCTGGGGGGCAGGAGTTATTGACTGGGGATGGGGTGGTGTGGTTTTGAAAGGGTGACGACAGAGAAGGGTTTGGACCGTCAGCCGCCATGTGTTGTAGACTCAAGAGGTTGCTGTTTGGAAGTTGACGTCTCCATTCGCCTCCCCCCTGCAGGTCAGCAGAAGTTGTTTGCCATAGCCTGCTGTTTCCCTCGATGCTACCGTATTTTTCGTTACCACATCGATCGGTAGATTCTTCCGTCGTAAAGAACAACTCCAGGAGAGAGTAAAACAGAAGAAAACTGGCTTGATAATGGGGCTAGAAATAGAGGAACGGGATGATGACTAAGGTACAGTAAGAGAAAGCCTACACGGATGCTTGCTCCTCGCTCCCTGCCTCCCCCAACCCCCGAACACTCTGCAAACCCTGTTTGCTTGCCGTTGATTAGCTAACCTGCTACAACCAGCCAGTGAAATCTTCCTCTCAGTTCTACAGTTGACTAGGACATCTGCTCTTTCTATTTCTATCTCTTCCTTTACTAGCTTTTTACATTAGTATATTTATAAACATCAACCTGTCAATCTATGTGTACGAGATGTCTGGGATTTTTTAGGAAACTCCTGCAGTCGATTTGGTTTTTTCCGTTCCGATACCTCTTTTTTATTGTAGACAACCCTAGAAAGAGAAAGGCTGAGCCCCTGTCCCCCCTAAAAGCACGAGTTAAAGAGAAAGAAGTCAGCAGTGGCGGTAGCAGTGGCCATTTCACGAGCATCTATAGTCGCACACACACCTCTCTCTCGTTCTGTGTGTATGTCTCTCTCTCTTGCGTCTCCTGTTAGACTCTCCCTTTTCCGCTCATCTTTCGACAGCTCAACTGTTCTCTCTGCTCTAACAGCACAGATTTCATCATTTCCTCATCAACTCCCCGTCGAACTGGCAGCGACTATATGAAAAATCTCAACACTCGCCCTCGTTCTTAAAAACAGATTACTTACCGCAGCCGTTGCTTCAGCACACCAGATAAAATACAAAATATCTCTCTCATTCACACACGAGCCCACACTACATTAACTTAACTTCTACTGCCTTTTATGGGTAGCAGCGGAAGTCTAGGGGTCACGCTACTTGACATATACATGCCGCGGGAAATGGAGTTCGACTGTTTTTTCGTATTTGTCACCATCATCACTAATGTAAGTTTCATCTTCACCTCTCCCTTTCTCAGAAGGGGAAGAGCCAGAAAATCCGCAAGTCTTTTCTCGGAGATTTTACTTCAAAGGGGAGGCAGATGGAGTGAAAAAGAGAGTGGGTCTGGAGTTAGTGTCAGGGGATCGCAAGCAAAGGTTGTGAAGATAATAACGATTTGCGAAGAGAAAATACAGAAATATTAGAAAAGTACGCCGCTTTAGTGATTGGTTGCATGAGAGGGTACTTGACCAGTTTGAGCGCAAGTATTAGTGGAGTAGCTGAAGAATCTCCCTGTAGTCAAGATAATCATGCGTGGTGGAGAGTTTCGCATTAGTATGGATGGAAAGTTCTTTCTAGCAGGTGCGGTGAAGAGACAAAGCAGGAAGAGGCTGGAAGGCTGAGTGAAAGGTTTAATTATGATATAAAACGTGTGATTTGGAGTTAAATATTATAGGAACTTATATGGAAAGATGTAGGAAGGCAAACAAGAAGACGAGCTCTAGTCATATGGAAAACTGAATCAAAATATAAATGACGAACTTCGAGCTGTAATGATCATCTATGTATCTCCAGACCGAAATTCAAGATTTATCGAATGACGCTAAATAGTTAAAAAATCTCCATAAATGTGTACTTTTCCAGTGAGAACTAGAATTCAACAAAGATTCTTTAATAGTCCTTTCGACAGAAACTTTGTAAAATTACATTTTTCCTCATTTTGAAACAATCAAAATTTGTTTTAACCAGTTTTCTATGACGAAACTGTTCCATTTTAAAGTGATCGGTTTGTCCAATTTAATAAGATCTAAGTTACTTCTGTGATCGGCATCTACACACCATATTGCCTAGTCACATCTCGCTTTATTATAGGGAGAACTGGATCGTGTAAAATTCCTTCAAGCCCTTACAGTCACGATAGTTCTGCCAATAAGACTCTGGAAATGTTTGATTTATATATAGGTAACTTCATCGAAAAGGCTTTTTCTAATAGTAGAAGCTCTTCAGGGTTTTCTAATATTATGGCTTTTGGACTATAAAAGGCATGTCTTTTCTCAATTTTAGAGGTTATACATTGGACTAACACCAAACAACCATATTTAAACCGAAGAAACCCTTCTTTAGTTTGGAAAAAATGGGCCCAAGCTAGCTGGCATAGAACCTCCCATAACAATTGACTAATCTAATGCTTGATGATCAATATTTCATATCAACAAGCATTGGTACCACAACTAAGGTTGAGTGAGTGATTGTTGACTCTTTATTGAAGACGGAATAGATTTGGTGGGACTGCTGAAGACTTGAGAGTTTTCAAGGACATTTCTCTATTCATGTTCCCTCATCGAGCCCCATATCATTATTATGTTCATCAGCAGATCTAAGGAAGTTATTCATGATAAGTAACCTTAGACTTTAAAATTTTGGATCTCTTGAACCTATTTCTCTTTACTACGAATTTTAGATTGCTAAAATTTAATTTGAATAAATTTTGTATAAAAATATAGATATTCGTTATAAAAATATTTTTTTAATTAATAATTTTAATTTTACCGTTTCAAAAGAATTTTTTGGTGTGCCACAAGGTCAACTTTCTCTTTTGTTGGTTGGCTCTCCTCTGCAGCATTTTCTCCTTCAAGAGGTGCCTAATTGTATGTACCTCATCATCTAGACTATAATCATTACGTATTTGTGAAAACATTCAGTAATAACCCATCTTAATAGCTGTAGTTCTATTAGAAGCATGGATATCGAGGGATTTGCTGAACCAATCTATACCTGAACAGACTAGATGGGATTTTCTCCTATGCTTGTTGCCTATGATCCATATTTCATCCACCTTTTTCAATTGGGGCTAGGCTGAAAATATTTGGATGAGGGTTGTAATTGAGAGGCTTTACGGCTTACATTATGAGGCAGGCTTAATATCAATATCTTCAATTATTTCAATTAACTTACCATTAATAACATTATTTTCTTTCCTAAGATAGTTGCCCCAATGGAAAATTTGTATAAAACTATCTTCGAAAATGGAATTTTCTAGCATGAAACTTTTTCTCCGTACTAGATTAGAGAATATACTTTGATAGCTAGTTCCCAACTCAATATCTATTTCACTCAAAACTTCTCCTTCTAATCCTGCTTGGCCCGGTCCTTGATCAAAGGTCTAATATGTGCATTGATGCGACTACTATTCTAATTTAAAGCCAGTGCAGATTCAGTTCAATTCTAGTTGGAATAAGCTTGAATATTTAGAGCTCAGGAAAGATAAGTGGGGAAGCTAAAATATAATATTTTAAAATAATCTCTTAAGAGCCATTTCAGAGAACGTGTTAACTTTGTTAATTAATAAAATGCCTAACAAAGAGAAATTAAAAAAATCAATAGATAATAAGCTATGTCACTAATTAGTAATGAAAAGGAAGGAAAGATTGAGCAAATCGGAAGTTTTTAATTCTTCTTTTATGTTTGGCGTAATAAGACAAACAAAGAACCCAGTCAGAAGTTCATTAAGGACCCTTCTGACCGCATCTAAGGACACCGACCACTACATTAGAAGCAAGATCTCGCTTCTCTGACCGCACCTCAGGATACCAACCACTATAAAGATAATAGGATCTGCGACGCAACACCTTGCAAAACTGTGTTTGGAGAGAAGCGAGAGACTCAAGGGCGCATCCAAGGACACCAACCACTACAGTGGAGACAGGATCTCGCTTATCTGACCGTAAATAGGGATACCAATGACCAAAGTGGAAACAGGATCTGCGACGCAATATCCCGCAACGCTGTGTTTAGAGAGAAACGAGAGAATCAAAGGCGCGTGACTGCCGCCACCGGTGGCGGTTTGGTCAATCGCGGAGCCGACTTCTCTATGTTCGTATGCCATCCTGCAGACGGAAACGCCACACCGTAAACATGGAGAGAGCAGAGAGAAATAGAAAGATATATATATTTATTGAGAGTGTGAGAAGGAGAGAACCGTAGATTACGACGGAGCAACGAACGAGCATTCCCCAACGCCAGTGTCGAAGCCACGGTTCGCGAGCTCCATGTGCTCCTAGCAGAGTGGACGAAGAAATCGGTGCAGGTTCCTTCGGCGGGGAGTTGGCCCTCCTCAAGAAGGTCCGGTAGAAGGATCCGAGCAATCAACTGCATCCCGTCATGTACATAAGAATCGCTATCGTGGCCTCACTCATCCCGCAGGCCGATCAATTTCCTGGCCGCAAAAGAAATGCCACCCATTGAAGCATAAGACCCTACATAGTACCAGATCTAAGTTCTGATTATCAGGTTCAGCTTTCTGGTAGGACCCCGGTTTTGAAACCCCTGATGCTCGGGTGATGCACGAGAGAATAAAATAATAAGTGGGAGAGGAAGAACTGATGATTGGGCACTGTAAATGACAAAAAAATGACGACGCGACCGGGTAAAACTCTCGTGACCCTAACCTCTGTTAGGGAAAAGGGAAGGGAGAAGAGTGGACTACGAGTTGAAGACTCGGGGATTCCAAGGACAATCAAGAGAGAGAGAGAAACAAGAGAAGGATACCACAGGCGCTTCGAGTGGCCCGAAACTCCGAATACTTTCTTCTTTTCCCCCTGCTCTTTTGAGGCTCTTCTCTTTCATATGCTACACCGTCCACAATCTCCGTTGGTGCACGTTCGAACTTACGGCAGCTAAAGACGGCCGTCGTTCTATTAAGGCCTCCGAATTGTTGCTGTCTTCGTTCCCCTCATATCGGTGATGTTCCGGAAATATCGTTGGTGGCCTCTAGAGGAGCGGTTCTCATGGGAGGAGGACCGTGTTCACGGGGATCCATCCCTTTCCTAAGAAGTCCACGTGTCTCAGCTAACACGGAATTTTCATGTATCTCACAGATTGAGATTTTAGTTGACTAATACCAACTCTTAAAATAAGATCAAATCGTAGCTTATTGCACGATATTCATTGTTTGTCATCTGTTTAACCCAGCTTCTGCTTAGATTAAACAGGAGGAACTCACAAGTTGACCCGCAGTCGACGATCTCGGCAATGCGGCCGAAGGTAACGCAGGGGCAACAGCAAGTCAAGAAACCTGAAGCGAGAGATCACCAGAAACGCTGAAGGTGATCAGTTTGTCATCCCTACGGTTTCTCTTTCTCGTTGCTCTGGAGGAGGGCACGGGAGGGCTTACAGAGCCGTACGTCGCAGCAGTTGTGAAGACCGGTAAACCATGCTTGACAGTACATTTCCTGGGGCAGAGGGGAACTAGGAGCGTGGAACTCTATTTCCATAGGCATCGGAGTACCCGTTGTTGGCTTCTGTGGAGCCTGGGTATAGGCATCTTCTTTCTTGCCAAGGTGATGCATGCCACGGGCACCCCACCCAACAGAGAAAAACATAAGAGGAAAAGGAAGAAGTGAGAGAGAGAAGAAGCGAGCAAGAGGTAGTCACAAAACTGATTAAAGAATTGGCGGAAAAAGAAATGGATCGAAAGATTCCGAGAGGAAACGAGGGTAAGAGCGGAGAGGGCGGGGGAGTTAGAAAGAGGGAGACAGAGAGAAGAGGACCAGGTACGTTGGATTAAAAAACAAGCAAGGAGAGAGGGAGAAAGAAATAAATGTCTGCATGATGAAAGGAAAAGAGACAGCAAGAGAGGAGAGGAAGAGCTTGTGTGTGTGTGTGTGTGTGTGTGTGTGTGTGTCTGTGGGAGAGCGAGAGAGCCACACTGGTGAAAGAACAGGGAACAATCAGATCCTACATGAAGCACCAGAAAGATAAAAGTCAATGAAACCATATATTTGACAAAGTTTGCATTCTCAATGAAAGTGGCCAAGATTTTTAAACATTTTTGTTTACCATGTAGTAAATGGGTTGACTTATATTTGGGTTAAATTTTAAAAAGTAGTTTTTAGTTTGTTAATATCAAAACTTTTAGCTAATTATGTGATTTTTAGTGAATTTATATAAGTTTTGTAATGATATTTTTTGAGATATCTAAAGAGATTTTATGATTCAATTCGTTAATGTAATTTTTTGGCTAATATATGATTTTATGTGAATTTATATAATTTTAATAATCCTATTTTTGAGATAAATAAAGAAAAAAAATAGAAAAAGGAGGGAACCTGCCAGCCAGTTGGGCCCGCAAGTGGGTTGGAAGCATAGTCGGGGTGGAGCCCCGAGCAGGGCCTTGAGCGGCTATGAACCGATGGGGTCATGTATGCGTCACTCCCCTTCCACATCACCGATGGCCAGGCATATAATCGATGTGGGACTAAACTGACGGTCACACCTTCCTCAAGATGTTTCAATGATTTTAATATCAAAAATATCCCTTATTTATAACTAAGAGATACCATGATAATGTCACTTTATTTTAATAGTGAAAATATCCTTGATTTTATTTTATTTTATTTGTAACAAGAAGAAAACCCAAAAATCAGAATAATCTTACCTTAGCTAACAATCTGATGACACCAGCAATAGGCACGTGAGCACACAGGCAATGATCGCATGGGCAGTGATGCATTGGTGAGTGGTGTGTGGGTGGTGATGTGTCAATGAGCGGTGTGTGGATGGAGATGCACCGGCAATAGTGCACGAGCGGTGATGCACCTGCAAGTAGTGCATGGGCGATCACATGTCGGTGAGTGTGGTGTGGCGATGATGCGTTGGCAAGCATCACAAGGGCAATGTGTGTTGGAGAGCATCGCACAGACAATGATGCGTTGGAGAATGGCGCACAGGTGATGATGCACATATGAGTGGTACGCAGGCAGTCATGCGTCGGTGAGCATCACAAGATTAGTGACGTATCAGTGAGCAGGAAAATGAGCACGCGTTCCTCTGAATTTTGCCTCTCACACCAATGATAACTGACGTGACTTAGTCATTGTATATTAAATCACGCAAATCTAAAATTTATAAAACTAGAAAATATGAATTTTCAAATATTTAGAAGTATTTCTGAATAAATATATCAATTATAGTTCAATAAAAATTCCAAAAATAGTGGTAATTTGCCAGGTCAATCACAGGGATGCAATATAATATCTGGTAATTATTCAAAATTTTCCTCAAAGAATATGATTTTCTATGAATTTTATACTAAGAAATGAAAAGAAAATATATTTAAAATTCACGAAAAAGGGAAATAAGGGTGCGGACATCAGGATGACGTCAGCGCCCGGCGAATGCAAATCGGGTGGAAACAGAGTTCCACCCGGTGATTCTTATGTAAGTAATTATAGATGATTTAATTAATCAAATTAAGATCTGTAAAAGCTAGAAGAATCGTAATTGAACGAAATATATTTTGGTAAATTAAAATCACACAAATTATCACTAAATGAAGCGTAAAGTAAGTTGAAAGTAAGAAAACAGAGTTCCGACGTCGCGACGGCGATGCATCAACGATGCACCAGAATCCTGAGCATTTGGGAGGATCATCATGTAGTGTCCATGGCCTCGAAGGCTCTCCTTGGACACAGACAACGTGGGCAATCTCTAAATCTCCTTGCGAAGTCTAGAGATTAATGAAATGGGTTGTCAACTCACTCCGGCAGCTGTCACCCGGCGGAGCAGAAAAACGGCGACTTTGCGGCTCTCCGACGACTGTCACCTGATGGAGAAGAGCTGGATGGAGGTGGGGCGCGTGTTAGGGAGCTTCATCCTCAGGTCCGCGCAGCAAGAGGAGGCTCTTCATCGCATCCGGTATGCTCTCAGGAGGTGGCGACTCATCTCCTGGCGGATCGTCCTCTTCCTGACGATGGCTTGTTCGTCAATCAATCGGAGATGATTTACTCAATGGATTCGTGATCCTTTTATTGCGAATCCTTCAGTAATTTTAGTAACAATGCTCCATGAATCACATTGACGAGATTTTTGCCGATGATCCAGCGATTTTGGTTGCTTAATCCTTCACCGGCGATCTGCAAGAAAGTCCGATAAAAAAATATGAGTTTTGGCTCTGAGAGGATTTGAACCCACGCCGGTTGCCCCACCTCTTCTGAGGAAGGTGACGGGTTTAGTCCCACATCGGTTGTGCGCCGAATTTTTGAACGAATATATACTAATGTTACATGATAAGTCTTCATTATCATGAGTTAATAATTAGTAAATAATATAGTTTTAGCCTTAACTCGTGATAAATAGACTTATATTTGTGTTAAAGTGTGAAAAGTGGTTTTTAGTTGATTAATGTGATTTTTTGGGTAATTATGTGATTTTATACAAATTTATATGATTTTTACAGTCTTACTTTTGAGATAAATGAAGAAAAAGAAATAAAACTAAAATATTGCAAAATGGGGGGGACTCGCCGGCCAGCTGGGCCCGCAAGCGGGTCGGAAGCTCAGTCGGGGAGTAGCCGCGAGCAGGGGCTCGAGTGGCTTGGACCGATAGGGACACATGTGCACCACTCCCCTTCCACGTCACTGGTGGCCAGCCGGCTGTGGGGCAAGGAGTGGTCGTACACGCGAGAGAAGGAACTTTGCTTAAAAAGCTAACATTACTATATATTCGCCCGAAAAATTGGCGCACAACCGATGTGGGACTAAACATGAGAGAAGGGGCGGACAACCGGCGCAGGTTCGAATCCTCCCAGAGTCAAAATTCATATATTTTTATCTGATTATCGCGACTTTCCTACAGATCGCCGGTGAAGGATTAAGCAATGAGAATCGCTGGATCATCGGCAAAAATTTCGTCAACGCGATTCGCAGAGCATTACTACTAAAATTGTTGAATGATTCGCAATAAAAGGATCGCGAATCCATCGAGTAAATGATCTCCGATTGATCGATGAACAAGCCGTCATTGGGAAGAGGACGATCCGCCGGGAGACAAGTCGCCACCTCCTGAGAGTGTACCAGATGCGATGAAGAGCCTCCTCTTGTTGCGCGGACCTGAGGATGAAGCTCCCTGACACGCGCCCCACCTCCATCCAGCTCCTCTCCGTCGGGTGACAACCGCCGGAGAGCTGCAAAGTCACCGTTTTTCCGCTCCGCCGGGTGACAGCCGCCAGAGACGACTCGGTGACCCATTTCATTAATTTCTAGACTTCGCGAGAAGATCTAGAGATCGCCCACGTTGTCTTTGTCCAAGGAGAGCCTTCGAGGCCGTGGACACTGCACGACAATCCTCCTGAACGCTCAGGATTCCAGTGCATCGCCGACGCATCGCCGTCGTGACACTAGAACTCTATTTTCCTGCTTTCAAACTTACTTTACGCTTCATTTAGTGATAGTTTTTGTGATTTTAATTTACCAAAATATACTTTGTTCTATTACGATTCTTCCGGCTTTTACAGATCTTAATTTGATTAATTAAATCGTCTATAATCGCTTACGTAAGAATCACCGGGTAGAACTCTGTTTCCGCCCAATTTGCGTTCGCCAGGCGCTGACATCATCCTGACATCCGCACCCTTATTTTCTTTTTTTTGTGAATTTAAAATATATTTTCTTTTCATTTCTTAATATAAAATTCATAGAAAATAGTATTCTTTGAGGAAAATTCTGAATAATTACCAGATATTATATTACATCCCTGTGATTGACTTGGAAAATTATTGCTATTTTTGGAAGTTTTATTGAATTATAATTGATATATTTGTTCAGAAATACTTCTAAATATCTGAAAATTCATATTTTCTAGTTTTATAAATTTTATATTTACGTGATTTAATATACAACGACTGAGTCACGTCATTACATTTCTAAGCAAAGTCTCTTTCTTGCGCATGTACGACTACTCCTTGGCCCACAGCCGGCTGGCCACTGGTGACGTGGAAGGAGAGTGGCATATACATGCCACCATCGGTTCAAGCCACTTGAGCCCTTACTCGCGGCTCATGCCCGATTGGCTGGCGGGTCCCCCCGATTTTACTACATTTTTATTTTAATTTCTTTTCCTTCATTTATCTTAAAAGGAAGACTGTAAAAATTGTATAAAATCACATAATTACCCAAAACTTCACGTTAATCAACTGAAAACCACTTTTCACACTTTAACACAAATATAAGTCTATTTATCATGAGTTAAAGCTAAAACTATATTATTTACTAATTATTAACTCATGATAATAAAGACTTATCAATAACGAAGTTAGTGAAATCAAATGAAGAAGGTGAATCTTCAAGGGATTGCTCGTTCCTATGGTGTCACACAATTTCTAGCTTGACGTGACTTAGTCGTTGTATAGTAAATCATGCAAATTTAAAATTTCTAAAACTAGAAAATACAAATTTTTAGATATTTAGAAGTATTTCTAAACAAATATATTAATTACAATTCAATACAACTTCCAAAAATAGTGGTAATTATTCAGAATTTTCCTTAAAGAATACTATTTTCTATAAATTTTACATTAGGAAATGAAAATGAAATATATTTAAAATTCACAAAAAAGGAAAATAAGGAGACGTTAGGATGACGTTAGCGCTCGACGAATGCGAATCAGGCGGAAATAGAGTTTCACCTGGCAATTCTTACTTAAGTGATTACAAATAGTTTAATTGATCAAATTAAGATCTATAAAAGCCAAAAGAATCATAATTGAATGAAGTATATCTTGGTAAATTTAAATCACACAAATTATTATTAAATGAAGTAGAAATTAAGTTGAAAGCAAGAATACAAAGTTCCAGCATCGTGGCGGCAATGCGTCGGTGATGCACCAAAATCTTGAGCGTTCGGGAGGATCATCGTGTAGTGTCCATGGCCTCAAAAGCTCTCCTTGGACAAGGACGATGTGGGCAATCTCTAGATCTCCTTGCGAAGTCTAGAGATCAATGAAATGGGTCGTCAAATCATCTCTAGTGGCTATCACCCGACGGAGTAGAAAAATGGCAACTTTACGGCTCTCTAGCAGCTGTCACTCGATGGAGAGGAGCTAGATGGAGGTGGGACACATGTTAGGGAGCTTCATCCTCAGGTCCGCACAGCAAGAGGAAGCTCTTCATTGCATCTGGTACACTCTCAGGAGGTGGCGACTCATCTCCTGGCGGATCGTCCTCTTCTTGACAATGGCTTGTTCATCGATCAATTGGAGATGTTTTACTCGATGGATTCGCGATCCTTTTATCACGAATCGTTCAGCAACTTTAGTAATAATGCTCTGCGAATTGCGTTGACGAGATTTTCATCGATGATCCATCGATTCTAGCGGCTTAATCCTTCACCAGCAATCTGTAGAAATGTCATGATAATCAGATAAAAAATATGAGTTTTGGCTCTCGGAGGATTCGAACTCGCGCTAGTTGCCCACGTACATGAGAGAGATTGACATAAGTACTCTAATGCCTTTATCAAATGACATCATCATGGTATATTGCTATTATAAATAAGGGGTATTGCAGATATTAAAATCATCGAAGCCTTTCTAGGGGAAGGTGTGACGCGGGTTTAGTCCCACATTACTTGTGCGCCAAAGTTTCGGGGGAATATATAGTAATATTATATTTGCAAGCAAGTTACTTTCTCTTGCGTGTACAACCATTCCTTGCCTCACAACCGGCTAGCCACTAGTGACGTGGAAGGGGAGTGGCGTACACGTGCCCCCATCAATCTTAGCCGCTCAAGCCTCTACTCGCGGCTCCTCTCTAACTGCGCTTCCGACCCACTTGCAGGCTCAACTGGTTAGCAGGTCCCCCTCATTTTGCTATATTTTTATTTTTATTTCTTTTTCTTCATTTATCTCAAAAGTAAGATTGTAAAAATCATATAAATTCGTAGAAAATCACATAATTACCTAAAAATTCACGTTAATCAATTGAAAACCACTTTTCACACTTTAACACAAATATAACTCTATTTATTATGAGTTAAGGCTAAAATTATATTATTTACTAATTATTAACTCATGATAATGAAAACTTATCACTTGTGCGCCAAAGTTTTGAGCAAATATATAATAATATCACATTTGCAAGTAATGAGTCCCTTTCTCTCCTTTGTATGACCACTCTTTGCCTCACAACTAGCTAGCCACCGATGACGTGAAAGTAGAGTGGTGCATGCATGCCCCCATCGGTTCTAGCCACTCGAGCCCTTATTCACGGCTCCCCTTGACTGTGCTTTCGACCTGCTTGTAGGCCCGGCTGACTGGCAGGTCTCCTCCTTTTGCTATATTTTTATTCTAATTTCTTTTTCTTCATTTATCTCAAAAAAAAGACTAGAAAAATCATATAAATTCATAGAAAATCATATAATTAGCCAAAAAAATCACGTTAATCAATTCAAAATCACTTTTCATAATTTAACACAAATATAAGTCTATTTATCATGAGTAAAGGCTAAAACTATATTATTTACTAATTATTAACTCATGATAATGAAGACTTATTAGCCTCCATTACTAATAATAGCTCTAGGACATCCATATCTAGTAAAAATAAATTTTTTAATAAATTTCACAGCTACTTTACTATCACATGTACTAGTAGCTATAGACTATACCCATCTAGAAACATAGTCCATTCTTATAAGAATATATTCATTTCCATCTGAATTAGGAAATGGACCCATAAAATAAAATCCTAATAAGTCAAAAATTTCAACTTCAATAATGGGTTTAAGAGGCATCTGATCTTTGTTATCAATATTGAAAGCTGCTTGACAAGGTAAACATTTAAGATAAAAGTCATGAGCATCTCTAAATAATGTAGGCCAATAAAATCCACTTTCTAATTCCTTGTGAGCTGTGATCTTTGAAGAAAAATGTCCTCCACTTTGTTTTGAATGGCAGTATTCTAACACTTCTTTCTATTCTTCTTCTAGCACACCTCATGAGAATAAGATCATCAGCACCTTGGTAAAATAAAGTAGGTTCATCCCAAAAATAAAATCGAACATCCTTGAGTAATTTCTTTCCCTTATTGTAGCCCCACTCCTTTGGAATTATTCCCGCCACAAGATAGTTAACAGAATGTGCGAACTAAGGTAATTTCTTCTCTTGAATATTCAATAAATCTTCATGAGGAAATGAATCATAAATAGGTGAAGAATCTGCTACATTAATCCTAGAAAGTTGACCACCAACTACATTCTCATAGCCCTTCTTGTCTTTGATCTCTATATCAAACTACTGTAAAAGTAAAATGCATCTAATTAGCCTCGGTTTAGCTTCTTTCTTATTAAGTAAATACTTCAAAGCAACATGATTAGAACAAATCACTACTTTACTTCCAAGCAAATAAGACCTACATTTATTTAAAGTAAAGACAATAACTAGTAACTCCTTTTCAATAGTAGAATAATTAAGTTGAACACCAATCAAGGTTTTACTAGCATAGTAAATGGCTACGGGTTTCTAATCATTCTTTTGCCCCAAAACTGCTCCCACTACAAAATCTAAAGCATCACACATTATCTCAAAAGGTAAACTCTATTCTAGAACTTGAAGAATAGGTGCATGTTGATAAGTTTTCAATATCATGAGTTAATAATTAGTAAAGAATATAGTTTTAGCCTTAACTTATGATAAATAGACTTATATTTATGTTAAATTATGAAAAGTAATTTTTAATTAATTAATGTGATTTTTTTGTTACTTATGTAATTTTATGTGAATCTATATAATTTTTATAATTATATTTTTGAGATAAATAAAGAAAAAGAAATTAAAATAAAAAGATAGGAAAATGGGGGGACCCTTCGGCCAACTAGGCCCAAGCGGGTTGGAAGTGCAATCATGGTAAAGCCGCAAGTAAGGGCTTGAGCAGCTATGAACCGATGGGGGCATGTATGCATCACTCTTCCACTTCATTGGTGGCCAGCTGAGTGTGGGGCAAAGAGTGATTGTACATATGCGAGAAAGGGATTCATTGATTTTCAAATCTTGTGTTATTATATATTCGTCTCAAAATTTGGCGAATAACCGATGTGGGACTAAACCCAGGTCACACCTTCCTGAAATGTTTTAATGATTTCTATACCTCAAATACCCCTCATTTATTAAAAGGAAGTAACTTAATGATGTCACTTTATAAGGATATTTGTGTCCTTATTTCACTCTCTCTCATGTAGGTAGGCAATCAATGCGAGTTCGAATCTTACTAAAACCGGTGAAAAATTAAGTCACGAGAATCACTCGATCATTAGTGAAAATCTCATCAACATGAATCACAAAGCATTATTGCTAAAATTACTGAACGATTTGTGATAAAAAGATCGTGAATCTATCGAGTAAATCATCTTAGATAAGCTATCGTCAGGAAGAGGACGTCTATCAAGTGACAAGTCACCACCTCTTGAGAGTGTACTAGATGTGATGAAAAGCCTCTTCTTGCTTGCTATTTGGGAGCTCCATTCATCACCTCTATCACTCGACAACCCAACCTTTGCATTTATTACAATAATGTGATTCTATGCGCGGACCTAAGGATGAAGCTCCTTAACACGTGCCACACCTCTATCCAACTCTTCTTCATCGGGTCATAGACGTCAAAGAGCTGCAAAGTCATCATTTTCCTGCTCCGTAGGGTGACAACCACTTGACACAATTTGACGACCCATTTCATTGCTCTTTAGACTTCGCAAGAAGATCGAGAGATTGCCCACTAGAGTGACTTAGTCGTTGTATAGTAAATCACACAAATTTAAAATTTATAAAATTAGAAAATACGAATTTTTGAATATTTAGAAGTATTTCAAGGAGCTGGATGGAGAGGAGCTAGATGGAGGTAGGGCGCATGTCAAGGAGCTTCATCCTCAGGTCCGCACAGCAAGAGGAGGCTCTTCATCGCATCTGGTACGCTCTCAGGAGGTGGCAACTCATCTCCCAGTGGATCGTCCTCTTCTTGACGACGGCTTGTTCGTCAATTAATTGGAGATCCTTTACTCAATGGATTCGTGATCCTTTTATCACGAATCGTTCAGCAATTTTAGTAACAATACTCCGTGAATCGCATTGACAAGATTTTCGTCGATGATCTAGTGATTCTGGTTGCTTTATCCTTCACCGGCGATCTGCAAGAAAGTCAGGATAATTAGATAAAAAATATGAGTTGTGGCTCTAGGAGGATCCGAACCCCCGCCGGTTGCCCACCCCTTTCTGGGGAAGGTGTGACGTGGGTTTAGTCCCACATCAGTTGTGCGCCAAATTTTCAGGCGAATATATAGTAATGTTACATTTAGAAGCAAGTCCCTTTCTCGTGCGTGTACGACCACTCCTTAGCCCACAACCGGCTGGCCACCGGTGACATGGAAGGGGGGTGGCACACACGTGCCCCTATCAATCCAAGCCGCTCGAGCCCCTGCTCGTGGCTACTCCCCGACTACGCTTCCGACCCCGCTTGTGGGCCCAGCGGGTCCCCCTATTTTGTTTTATTTTTATTTTTATTTCTTTTTCTTTATTTATCTCAAAAGTAAAATTATAAAAATCATATAAATTCGTATAAAATCAAATAATTACCCAAAAATTCACGTTAATCATGAGTTAAGGCTAAAACTATATTATTTACTAATTATTAACTCATGATAATGAAGACTTATCACCCACGTTGTCTTTTATTTAAAGAGAGCCTTCGAGGTTGTGAACATTACACAATAATCCTCTTAAACACTAAGAATTTTGGTGCATCATCAACACATTGCCACCACGATGTTGGAACTTTGTTTTACCATTTTTTAACTAGTTTAACTTTCACCATCATTTTCTAAACTTTGAAAAGAGATCTAGTAAATGTCCAAGCTGTCCATGTCCAATAAGAGCCTTTGAGGCCATGGACAACGTTCAGTGATCCTCCTGAACATACAAAATTTCAACAATCGTTGTCGTGAGGCTGGAACTCTACCTTTCCTAGTTTCAACTTAATTTTTACTTCATTAAGTGATAATTTATGTGATTTATATTTTGTAAGCTATTATTCATTCAATTACAATTCTTCTGGCTTTTACAGATCATAACTTGACTAATCCAACCATCTATAATTACTTACGTAAGAATTTTTAGATAAAACTTTATTTTTACCTAATTCACATTCATCAAGTGCTGACATAATCCTGATGTCCGCACCCTTATTTTCTTTTTTTGTGAATTTTAAATATTTTTATTTTTATTTTTTAGTCTAAAATTCATAAAATATCTTATTCTTTGATAAACTTTTTGAAATATTATCCGATATTATCTTACATCCCTATGCTTGATCCGATTTTTTTTTACTATTTTTAGAACTTTTATTGAATTATAATTGATTTATTTGTTCAAAAATACTTCTAAATAGCTAAAAATGAGTATTTTCTAGTTTTATAAATTTTAAATTTGCGTGATTTACTATACAATGACTAAGTCACACCACCTATATGAGTGCTTATTTAATTTCATGAAATATAGTTTTAGCACTATCATCTAAAATAAAATCAACATCCATAGAAGAAGGTTAGTATGAGGTTTTGAAATTTTTGCAAAATCTTTAATGAACCTCTTATAGAATCCTACGTGGCCAAGAAAACCTCTAAGTTGATTTAGGTTGATGGAAAGAGGTAGCTCCTTGATTCTCTCTATCTTGACTTTGTCTACCTCTAGCCCATCCTCATTTACTTTGTGCCCTAACACTATGCCCTCCTACACCATAAAATGAGATTTTTCCCAACTTAAAACAAAGCTATTTTCAATAAAAATTTCAAGAACTTTGGTTAAGTTGGTTAAGCATGATTCAAATGAGCTTCTAAAAATTGAGAAATCATCTATAAAAATTTCAAGTGAATCACCAACTAAGTCATAAAATATAACATTCATGCATCTTTGAAACGTGGTAGGGGCATTGCATAACCCAAATGGCATTCTCTTGAAAGCATATGCTCCTACAGGACATGTAAAAGTTTTCTTCTTTTGATCATCAAGATGAATATTTACTTGATTATAGCTTGAATAACCATCAAGAAAACAAAAGAAATTTTGTCTTAAAAGTTTTTCCAAAATCTGATCAATAAAAGACAAAGGATAATGATCTTTCTTAGTTACAGAATTTATCTTTCTATAATCAATGCAAACTTACCAACTAGTGACTAATCTCTTCTGAATTTCTTCACCTTTATCATTGATTTCAATAGTTAATTGAAACTTTTTAGGAACCATATGGACAGGACTCACTAAAATACTATCAAAAATAAAATAAATAATATCTGCATCAAATCATTTCAAAATTTCTTTTTTTAAGATTTCATGCATATGAGGATTTAGTCTACATTGACTTTCTCTACATGGCTTTGATCCTTCTTCTAGAAAAATCCTATGTTCACACACAATAGAAGGTATGGCTCAAAAGTCCAACCAATGACACATTTATGATCTCTTAAAACATTCAAGAGGCCATATTCCTACTCATATGTTAAAGTTGAAGAAATGATAAGAGGATATGATTGATTAGAATCCAAAAATCCATATTTCAATAAAGGCGGCAAATGTCTAAGTTTAAGAATTGGGTCAGAAGGGTCTCCTTTGAATCCAAGGGAATTAGTTGAATCTTCTTTTGGATTCAAATCCTGAATCTCAAGAAGATATCTTACTGATTCCTCATCATCCTCATCAAGGAGCTTACATGTACCAAGGTCATCATGAAATCCTTTGGAATTGCCAAAGAACTTAGTCATATTTAATTAAACTTTCTCCTCTCCAACCTTGAACTAAAAAGTTCCCTTTTCCAAATCTGTTATTGCTTTTGTTGTGGCAAGGAATGGTCAACCAAAAATTATAGCCAATTGACTAAAATTTCTAGTCACATTCATAATTGCCATAATAAAGTCAACGGGGAAGGTACATTATTGAATTCTAACCAAAACATCATTCAATCTTCCATGTGGCTATCTCATAGACCCATCAGCTAATAATAGATCCATGCAGATTGGCTCAAGAGCCCCAAATTTAAACTTATTAAATAAAGCTTTAGGCATAAGATTTACACTAGCTCCAGAATCTAAAAGTGATTTAGGAAAAATCATGCCATTGATTTCACATTTAATAAAAGGAGCTATAAGATCTTTCTTTCTAAGAGGCATAGAATCCAAAAGAAGGGAACTAATATTTTTAGACAATAAAACTTTCCTTTCAGTTCTCGTAGGTGTGCAAACGTTTTTAACATATTTAGAAATCGGGGGAACACATTTAAGCACATCTTCAAGGTGAAAAGTAATAGTTGCACCCTTAAAGGCCTCAATCATTCTTGTTTCATGATCTGAAGAGGGTTTAGAAAAATTCAAAACACTTGGAAAAAGAATAGGAGGTTAATACTTAGAGGGTTGAGGCTCTTTCTTTTCATTTTGGGCCTCTTCCTCTTCGTTTCTCTCCAAAACCTTTTCCCTTATTTCCTCCTTTTCTAACTTCTTATAAGTATCAAGAAGTTCTTTCCCACTTCTTAACTTAGAAATGGCATGAGCTTCCTCTTCCTCATAAAATTCATCATAAATCATGTCACAAGATTGATCATCACAATCAACGAAAGATACATTTCTAGGATTTACAAGAGGTTGAGTTGGGAATCGTCCTTTATAGGAGTTTATTTCAACTCCTTTACCTCTTCCTTGATCTGGTCGCCCTCTCTTCAAGTTGTCAATCTCATTCACCATCTCTTTCTTCATCTCTTGCATAAAGCTCATCATCATGTTCTTTTATTGTTCCATCATCTGCAAAATAAGTTTATTTTGATTAGATTCAGAATTTTGAGCAGCTTGAAGAGGTTGAGGTTGATAGTGAGGTGGAGCTTGATATTGCTGTTGAGGTTGTGGAGGGTAATAATTTGTCCTCTGCTGAAATGGAGCCTTGGGGCCACGGTTGTAGCTTGAACTTGCTTGGTTCCCTTGCCCACTTCATTGCCCTTGGTTATACCCCATAGCAGTCACCTCTTCTTTTTCTTTACAAGCTCCATCTTCATGATCTCTACTATGACAAAGAGAGCAAATCTTAGTTTTAATGAGAGGAGAGTTAGAATTAAGTACCTTGTTCAAAGCTGAAGTCAATTCATCTAATTTCTTGTTTGTCTCCCACAAGCTATGGTTAGTCTGATCTCTCTCCACTTCATCCTCTTTCCTTGCATCATTCAGAATTCCTCCTTGCCTTCGGTTCATAGTTCTCCGATTTTGCCTTACACCTGCATGTTGTATATTACTTTCTGCCATTTTCTCCATTAGAACATAAACTTCATCCTCATAAGCATGATAGAAACATCCTCTTGCAGCCGAATCAACTCTACTCCTAAGAGCATCCGTTAGACCATCATAAAAAATCTGAGCTAGTTGAGAAGATTTAATTTCATGATGAGGGCATTTCCTTATCAAAGTTTTCAAACTCTCCCAAGCTTCACTAAATGATTCATCATACATTTGACTGAAATTTTGAATTTCTCTTCTAGATGCATTTGTCTTTCCAAGAGGATAAAATTCTGCAAAAATGTGTTCTCAAGTTCAATCCACTTACCAAAAAAAACTTCTAGACTTCTATACCATTCTTTAGCCTTTTCTTTCAAAGTAAGAGGAAAATACTTCATCTTTAAAATTTTGGTTATAAGTCCAAGAATATTTTGAGCAGAACATCTGATATGAAACTCACCTAAACAGTCAAGAGGGTCATCATTAGATAAATAATAAAATGTGGGAAGAGAATTCATTAAAGTATTGTCATATTTAAAGACTACTCCCTCTTTAAGATTGATGTTGAAGTTAGTTTGCTTCAAACTCCTAGCTGGGTTTGACTTCTCAAGCATAGTTTGCTTCTTGATTTGTTGAGGTGGGTTCTTGTCTCTTTGATCTATCATTTCTTCACACGTAGCTTCGGTTATGTCCTCTGAATGTTAGAAGATGAATCTACTTTCTTTGACCTAGTGTTGACCATTAATGGGTAGAAACGTGAAGAAAAACCTTGTCAAAAATAAAATATAACTTTGGTGATCCTTCTTGGTGTGTTTCTTCACACAAATAAGTGTTAAAAAGATAAAAATAAAATAAAATAAAATAAAATAATAAAATAAATAAATTTCACTAATTAATAACACTAGCTCCCCAGTAATGGCGTCAGTTGTTTATCTAGAAAATGTGGTAATAATCATTGTGTAAATTCTAGATTTAGCAATCAAAATTTATAATATTTAACATCACAAAGTATAACTGAGTAAGGGTCGAGCCATAGAGAGCTAGGAATTAATAAGAGAATTTGTTTAGTGATTTTATATTTATATTTATATTTATTTATTTTAATTTATTTTATTTTGTAACAAGAAGAAAACCCTAAAATCAGAATAACCTTACCTTAGCCAGCGCTCTGGCGGCACCAGCGACAGGCACGCGAGCTCACGGGTGATGAACGCATGGGCGGTGATGCGTCGGCGAGTAGTGTGTGGGTGGTGACGTGTCGCCAAGCGGCACGCGAGTGGAGATGCGTTGGCGACGTTGCACGAGCAGTGACGCGCCGGCAAGCGGTGCACGGGCGGTCACGCGTCGGTGAGTGTGGCATGGCGATGACGCATCGGCGAGCGTCGCGCAGGCGATGCGTGTCGGCGAGCGTCGCCCAAACGATGATGCGTCGGAGAACGGCGCGCGAGTGATGATGCACCTGCGAGCGGTACGCGGGCGGTCATATGTCGAAGAACGGCGTTTCGTATGTAACTTTAGCTGCATAATGAAATTTCGGGCGTGGTTTGCTGCGTTGAATACCTCTGGATCTTGGTTCTCACACCAGTGATAACCAAGCCAGCGAAATCAAATGAAGAAGGTGAATCTTCAAGAGATTGCTCGTTCCTCTAGTGTCACATCATTTCTGGCCCAAGGTAGCAATCTCCTTCTTCCTTCAAATCAGATGATCTAGTTTGCTTCTTCACTCAACTTGACACTTAGAAAAAAGAGTGAATCCAAGAAACTGTTGCACTAAGGCCACCAACATAGAGTTTGGGACAGAATCAGGAATACCCTACAATGAGGGAGGAAGAGAATATAAATAAGGGTCCTAATTTCTCAAAGTGAGAACCCCATGATGTGTGGCCTCTCTTTAATTTCGGATTTGGGCCTTTCTTGTTGGGCCTTGAACGTGGGTTGGCTGCTTCTCTCCTCTACATTTAATATCCAATTTATCTAGGTCCTGAAATTCAATAAAACTCTATGAAAAATGTGAGAATAATCCACTTGATGCAAAAGAATCAAGTGGGGTTAGTTCACAAGTCAATAAATATCCAAAATAAGGACTAGATAAATAATACATATTTATTTCATTTTAATCATAAATAAGTGATAATTACCATGCTCATGAAAATATAAATGATTAATTAAAACATAAAAACATGTAATTATCAGTACATATTTGATATCATCAAGATATCATAGGTCCAAAGTAGGGTTATCCAAAACTATTTATATTTCCGCTATCCTAATGAATCTAATGAGTAGAGAGGGTAAGATAGGGGTCGAACTATAAAGAGAAAAACTATGATCTTAAGAAATCCTAAGTAATGAGAAGAAATAGGTTAGAAAATGAACAAAATAAAGAGAGATGAGAGACAAGTGAGAGATGAGAAACATGGGTGAAATGGGACGTAATGAAGGAAACTCTAGATCAGGGTTGACCTAGTAGGTTGTAGAAAAAAGTTTTGAAATTATTTTAATGAGAAAAAGTGGTTGAGGTTGACAAGAAATAATGTAACTACAAAGAACCTATCTAAAACCCTAGGTTTCACCCTAAGGAAGAAGGAAAGAAAACAAGTAAACATAAGGAAGAAGATTGCTCAACTTGAGCCTTTATCTATCGCAAGGCTAAGCAATTTCCTCCGACAAGTTGATCTCTAACACTTTACTCCTTACAACTCCATCCTCAAGACTCAACTTTGCCCTCAAGGCCTCTCTTGAACACTCAAGATTACGCAAAAGGTGAAGAAGAATGGATCTTTAAAATAGAAGTTATTTATCTTTGGCCAACCTCTATTGGGGCTCCTTCCAAAAAGATAAGAAGGAAAGAGGGTGAAGAGAATACATATAAGTAGTAAAATTTCCCAAAATATGTTTAGCCCTTTTTCAAAATATCCCTAGCTCTTCTCCTTTACCTTCTTGTAGCCAATTTGTCAATCCAAATATGGGGATGTGAAGAGCAACTCTTGAAGATCGTGCCCACAAAATTTGGGATTGAAACCCCTTCTAGGTTGTCATATATCAATCCTAGAAAATGGAGAAATCTAGGCCGTTGATTAGGTGTCTGCCACAAAAGGACCACGGAAAGGTGACGGTTGGGAAAAGACATCTTTAACAGCTGCTTACAATGACAAGACGTTCCTAACCACCAAAAGTTAATAGTTGAGAACAACAGATGTCCTTAACTGCCGCTTATGATGACAAGACATCCTTAACCACCGAAAGTTGACGATTAAAGAGAAGAGACATCTTTAACTTACACTTTCAGTGGGAAGACATCTTTAACCATTGCTTTTGGTGACAAGACGTCCTTAATCATCACTTTCGGTGACAAGACGTCTTTAACCGATGCTTTTGATGACAAGACATCCTTAACCACCAAAATAAGAGGCACAATCATTGACTAGCAGTCCACGTCTTCTTGCCTTCTGCTCACGTGCGATAGCTCATATTCTTGCATTTGACGTAATACAACAGTTCACGTCTTCTCACATTCTGCATAATTGTGGCTTGAATAAAATATTCATGAATTAAATAATCACAATGCTGCTGCATCATATAAGACAGCATGACAAATATATGTAAAAATTCAGTGATTGACATGTGTCATTAACTGTAGGAAATTATGGAAAATCCCCTAAAATATGTGAAATAAAATATATATATTTCCCAAAATTACTTAAATATCCTCATGACATAAGTATAAAAAAATTCAAAACAAAGTCATAAAAAATCTGGGAATATTTATAAAATAGAAAAAGTTCTTAGAATCATTATAAAGTTAATATTTGGCTATTTTATAAATGATAACATGGTAAAATAAGACATTTGATCCTAAAACATATTTACTTTATGGAATTAATGAATAGTTTTAGCATATTATCACTCACCTATAAAAGCAACTAAATAAAGAAAAAATTCAGAAAACCTATGGCATTTGTTTTCTGGTTTTCTATCAAGAAATGGAGAAATCAATTTACAGATTGTCGAAATCAGCAGAAAAAAATAGTTTAAAATTTAAAATTTAGAAACCCTTTTCTCGCATTTCAATCCCCTAGACATATATTTCTAAAATTTAAAAATTACAATCATAAAGAGGATAGTTTTGGTTTCTTTTTGAAAAATTTGGCATTGCTGAAAATAGAAAACAAAACTATCACAACTATCTAATTTATAAATTTCTTACATCATATTACATGTATGAAAAATTAAATCATTTAGATTCATTGATATCAAAATATACTAGGATGATTATTATTGAGTTAGAAGAATGATTTAATAGTATGAAATGTTAGAATACTTTTTTAGATACATGATAGATAACATGGATTTAAGTTTATAGATTTTTACTTCATAATCTTGATGGATAATATTTACTTAATGTAAAATTTTGATTAATCATTTGAGTCTAATGAAAAATTTTACACCTTGATCTATAGGACTTGTGAGAAGAGATCACTTATTTTAGAATTTAAGAAAAATAAAGTAATGTGAAAAATCTGAAAACAAATAGTACACCTGGAGGGTGTGAGACATCATTCTCATTGTCCAAAATCATCTATAGAAAAACACTTACTGCAAAATAAGTAGATAATGTGAAAGCTCTGAAAATGAAGAGTACACATGTCAAAATTTGTTCACAAGAAAAGCTATTAATCTACTATAGAAAAAAAAAAGTAGAAGAAATATAGTGTAAACATAAAACATCAAGTCATAGAAAAAAGAAAATATAGGATCAAATATTATTCTTAGATTAATATTGATCATTAGAACATATTGTGAATTATATCTATGAGTGAAAAAGTGATAAAAATGTGAATGAAATAAATAATTTGTAGATTGTTATTCCAAGGAATGCTTAAATATTTAAGTGCTTGACATCATTCCTAAATACTTAATGTAAGACTCCAAAGTCTCTAGAGGTGCTTCATTCCTTATTATATTTTCATGCATTTAAATATGATGTTTGAAATTTATGAATTTTAATTAATTTTTATAATTCTATTGCTAAGAGACTAGTAATGATTTAAGTTGGGGGGTGTGATAAGTTTTCATTATCATGAGTTAATAATTAATTAATAATATAATTTTTTTACTAACTCATGATAAATAGACTTATATTTATGTTAAATTATAAAAAAAAAATTAGTTAGTTAATATGAATTTTTTAGATAATTATGTAAATTTATATAATTTTTATAATCCTTTTTTTGAGATAAATAAAGAGAAAAAAAAAAGATAGAAAAAGGAGAGAACCTACTAGCTAGTTAGCCCTAGGTTGAAAGCAAAATCAAGTAAAGTCGTGAGTAGGGACTCAAGCGATTGAGGGACATGTGGGGGACATATGTGCATTACTCCCCTTCACGTCACTAGTGGCTAGTTGGGTATGGGCCGAGCAGTCGTACATAAGTGAGAAAAGGACATATTAATTATAAAATCTAGTATTATTATATATCTATTTCAAAACTCGACAAATAACTGATGTGGGACTAAACTAAGAGTCAGCTTCCCATAAAGTTTTTAATAATTTTAATACCTACAATACCTATTATTTATGAGAACTAGATATTATTATGACGTAATTTTATAAGGGTATTGGCATACTTATTTTACTCTCTCTTATACAAGTAGAAAATTAGCAAAA